CTTTCTGCTCAAGCAAGAAATCCCAATAGTTCTGTTCCTGTTGCAGTTGTGCCTTTAACCACGCCATCTGATGGAAAGAACAAGAACCCACTGACCCAGGCACAAGATAAACAGATTAAGCTTGGGGATGGGTTTGTAGAGGGCTATGATTTTGAGGATTTTTGATACTGAAGAAACTCCCTGTTTCGGGTTTAGAGTCCTTCCTTCCACAACTTGCAAAGGACAAGGACCTAGTGGCAGATAAGGGAGACAAAATGTGTTGAGTAGAACTGGCTGTGGTTTCTGATCCTGTGCTTAAAGAAAGCTTGATCTAAGAGTGTTTAAGCTGATAGTGTCACTGCAACTTGATAAGAGGAACTGAGTGAGTTTGAGAGCAATCTATCAAGATATCACAGAAGACAGAACTTGGTGGGAGGCACATGTGAGACGCAGGAGCATCTCTCACGGAAGAGTGAGTGCAAGAAAAGAAATGGGCTTTGGCCTGGGGGAACCATCATCACTGAGGAAGTGCATTTTAAAATGGGCATCTGTCCAGGCATGGTGGTGCATGCCTGTAATGCCAGTGTGTCAGAAGGCTGAAAGGTGAGAGGATTGCAAGTTGGAGGCCAGCCTAGCAACTTAATGCAACCCTGTCTCAAAAAAAAAAAAAAAAGTAAAGTAAAAAGGGCTGGGGATATAGCTCAGTGGTAGAGCACTCCTAGGTTCAATACCCAGTACAAATAAATAAATAAGCAAGCAAGCATCTGATGGAAGCTCTAAAATTGCTCCAGCAAACACGGCATCTGTTCTTCAAAGTCCACCCAGGAATTCCCGTTGCAGCCCCATTGCTACCTGACAGCTCCCAAACCAGTAGTTCTCAAAGTGGAGTTCTAGTCCAGTAGCATCAGCAGAATAAGATGCAATCTTGCTCCTCACCCCAAACTACTGAATTGGAAGCTCCAAGGGTGGAGCCCAACAAACTGCACTTTAACAAACTATCTAGGTGATTCTGACACATGTTCACATTTGACCTAAACTACACAGAAAACGTCTTTTCTCCTTAAGTGAAGACAAGTGTCTCATGCGTACAGTTATTATTAAATATGAGAAATTAACACTTGAAACTGGAAAGCAAAAGGCATACAGTATTGTATAGCTTAGAGAACAATTGGAACCATTAGTGTTGCTGGATTGTGATTGAAATGGGGACACATGGGGGTTTTGAATGTGGATTTAAGGAAAGTATGCAGAAATAGGATAATTACTCCTGTGTGATGGGGGCCCCAATAAAATGTCCTATGATGTAGCAAGAATGCTTTCATCATGCAGTAAGATGGAATCTGGTGCTGCATGAACTTGTCCTGAAGACCAAAGTTAAATGCCTCCCATTCCTCTTTTTCCTGATTTCATTTAACACTGTCCTTGAGAGAAGAGACTAAGCTAACAACTGCAGATATGGTGTAACAAGAGAAATTTCTCAGAATTTATAATTAAAAAATGGTTTCTGTTTTCTGGTATAGCAGCTTCTCCATCAGTCTGCCTGTATGCCTGCCCCTCACTCTGTATCTGGGCTGGATTAATTCCTTGAGAATGGAGTTGTTTTCCTGATAGAAATTTTCAGCACTGATCAGAGATTTAGTGGGGTTTTTGTCCTGATGCAATTTGGAGACTCAAAGTTATCCAAATTGCATCAGGACAAAAGACACATTTTCTGTTTTCCTTTCTATTTCTCAACCTCAATTTAACACATAGGTCCTATTTTTTTTCTCTTTGTCTTTCTACTTTAATAAATACATATTGGTAGGTATTAATGAAGCACCTACTGTGCGCAGTGCTAGATGGTTTCACAAAGTCACATTTTCATCCCATCTTCACCAACACTTTAAAAGGAAAAAAATGTAAAACAACTCTTGACTCAGCCCTTGCCACTACCTAGAACTGGTTTTGCTTCCTTAAGTTGCTTTTCAAGGGAAAGCATTGGGATTCTCCATATTTTAAACCTTTTATATAAAAGCAGTAATTCTTAGAAACTAAAGAGAGCATGTAACTATCCTTTCATAGTGAGATTGCAGCCTTGATTTGTGACTCTCCTAGATTTGTGGTTTCCGTTGATTATTTTTCTGTAGACTAAAGATCAAGAGGTTGGAGTGAACAGTGCAAAATAACAGGTAATTGCTTCTAGTCTTTATTGTACTACTTTGCAGGAGGCAGAGTATTCTTCTTATTGCCTGAGGAAGGTACATGGGCCCCTTTTGGTCCTTGCATATGTACCGTTTAGTCACAAGGACTCTGGTCAGCTGCCTTTCACCAAGGTAACTGAGTCACAGTGGCAATCAAAACTGGCACTCCTCCAGGCCACAAGGGAGGAGAAGTCATACTGTGCACATGAGCTAATGATGACTCTCACCTAAGAAACAGGGTGTGTAAAATCACACATTCATATTTGTATTAAAAAATAGAGAGGGGGGCTGGGTGAAGGAGACTGAGGTTGGAGGATCACAAGTTCAAAGCCAGCCGCAGCAACTCAGCAAGGCCCTAAGCAACTCAGTGAGACCCTATCTCTAAATAAAATACCAAAAAGGGCTGGGGATGTGGCCCAGTGGTTAAGTGCCCCCTGAGTTCAATCCCTGTTACCAAAAAAGAGCGAGAGCGAGAGCGAGAGCGAGAGCGAGAGCGAGAGCGAGAGCGAGAGCGAGAGAGAGAGAGAGAGAGAGAGAGAGAAATGGAGCATTGCAACCTATGGTAAACAGAAATTGAGACTGCTTTGGCTTTCAAATTCTGGAAAGAAGAAAACCTGTACTTACAAATATAACCTCTCTTATCATCAGAATCACTGCATAAAAGCACCTTTAACACCCAGGTAATGAGTACTAATTTTTTTGTAGAGAACTCAGGATAAGAAGTTGGATGATATTTTTCATATAAATGTGCCTGATCTCTAGTTCTTAGTCTGTAAATTCCTGGCAGTCAGAATTTGTATTTCTCTTTAACAGGGCAACTCCCTGTGTTTCCTCCTTCAGGTTAATAAGTAAAGTAGTGGTTCTCAGGAATTCATTTCTGGGTGTGCGTTAAGAGGCTGTGCAGTGTACTGGTTGGGAATGCAGTCAGGCCTTCTTGGTTAGAAGTCTTGGTTAGAAATCTTTCTTCTCTGCATTTGTTGTTGTGTGATATTAGAAAATTGTTTACCTTCTCTGAGTCTTGGTTTCCCCAAAAGATGCTGTAATATTATATGATATAATGTACATTTAGCACAGTGGCCTGGCTAAAAGACCCAATAAATATTATATATGGTTTATACTTGTTATCAGTTGATAATTGGTAATGTCACAATATTAAAGATGTGATCAATTGGTTTTCCCCCCCCTCCTTTCTCATCTCTCTTCATCATTGGCCTCAGCTCAGGAAAAGGTGATCACGAAACAATCTTCCAAAATGAAACTTTGGTTATCAGCCATGCTATGGGTGTTTGACAGTCTTCTGGCTTCTGCCCATAATAAAGAGGCATCCTTGAAGCTTTCCATATTCTAAAAAGAGAAGTGAAAGGGCAGCTTGTGGGTCTCAGGGGTGAGTAAGAAGGGCACTTTCACCTACCCCCACTGTCCCTGGGACCACCTCTCTTTCCAAGATGGCCCAGGGTATTTGAGTTTTTAAGCATCTTATTTTTCTGGAACAAGAACTGGCAGGAAGTGGTCCAACAGCATTTAGGTGGTTCACAGGCACACTGCTTTTCACCTGTCCTCACTAGAGTCAAAGGGGACAGGTAGAACCTCAGTAAGCATGGGGCAGTGGACCTAGAGAGGTGATGGGAGGGCAGGGCCTCCTCCTGGGAGCCAGCCCCAGCAACATATGAATGCCTTCTTGGAATTGCCAAGCTGGCCCTGGTGAGTCTGGAAGACCATCTTGCCAGTAGGCCTGAGACCAGCCTAACAGATGGCCTGGGTTGCTTGTGGCACAGCCCATTTCAGGCCATCAGGTGTGTTCCCTAAAGGCAAGTGGCTCATCCAGCCCATCGTGGGGGACAGCTCAGGCTGCATCATGGGTTTCCCAGCTCTGCCTGTCCCCTGCTGTACCCCAACACTGCTCTCTCTGAGGAGGGAAAGACCAATGTACTCTTTTCACCCCCAAAGCAAATCTCCAGGCTGCATGATTTTTGGGTCAATGTCCAAGCTGGTCTTTATATGATAGCCCTTCTCAGAAGTGGCCAAATGTTACCATCAAATGAAACAGCTACTGCAAAGTTTAAAAGGATGATAAAAGAGTGAAGTCTATTTGAGGACTTGGCTTAGAAACCCTGTGACCTCCATAGAGTACTGAGAAAATGAACTTTCAAATTTCATGTTTCCTAAGACCACAGACCTCTTGTTGTGTTCTTTACCTTTCTTTCTTCCTCTTTAAAGCATGTATCCTCTTTGCAATCTAAGAAAGAAAATGCATAACATCTTCTCTCCCTTACATGCAGAATAAAGCCTGAGGAAAGTTAATGTTTTTAAACTCAGCCTGTGGATTTGAGATAAGGATTCAAGGAGAGAAGCCTTTAAACTCAGAACAGAATCTGTTTGCAGCTATTGTTCAATTAACGTAAAGTATCTGGTTACTGGGTATGTTGCATAATGTACCACAGTGCAAACCAAACATTCTCAGGACTGGTGCTGAGCTCCTTTAGTGAGCTAATTTGTTCATTTTTTTTTTTTCAGAAGTCCCTCAAAACAAAAGACTGAAATGAATCAACACTTTATAGTTGAGATACAGCTGAGGGTTGTCAGTGTGTGCTCATGATGATAAGAAATCTAGAAGGAAACTGGAAAAACCACACATCCTGCCCTAAAAAAAAAAAAACAAAACTAGAAATACTATCAGAAGAATTACAATCAAACCCCATGAGAGTCCTTGGGCATGGAAAGTCACCAGCTAGCTAATATTAACATAGCTTGCAACAGAACACTGGTTCTAGAAATAGGACAGTCATATCACTACAGCCAGGCAATTTGCATTCTGTGGACCAGCCCCTAAATTCCTCCTGGCTCCTGTTGCCCTTGGGCATCACATTTCTGGGTGCTTCTAGAGGGTGTTCATGTTAAGCCGACTAGATTCTCCAGGAACTCTACCCCAAAGAGAAAGAAACAAGGAGAACAGCTGCTTTCTTTTCAGGGAAGTGGCTGAACTACAAACAAATCTTCAGGCATCTGAGGAATTGTAAAGTTTCTAGATTTCATATGGTTGCTGACAGAGAGGAGTTGACAAGGACCCTCTGGATTTTCTCACTATGGATAATCTGTTGCCTCCATCAAGATTCTCCTATTTCAAAAAATACCCTCTCCACGCAATTAGGAAATACTTATCAATGCTGAGGAGCCAGAGAGCCGAAGATCAGGTATCATTTTGTTTATATTAACTTTAAAATTAATGGGTGCTTATTTTGGGGTGTGGCTTTTACATAGCTTAGTGATCTAGTTTCTCCTCTTTGTAGGTTTATAGGCACAGGTCATATCCTGCTTATGGCTGTTCAGACTTGGCAATCAGAAGAGCAGGCAGGCTTGTGAGGATTTATTTGATCTTGGAACATTTGGATACCGAGATTAAGCTGAAATTCTGTAATGAAACCATATGCTTTGCTTCCTCTGGAATACCTAGGCTAAACTAACATATCAGAGTTAAAATTTTGATTCCTTGATCGTTTTCCAGTGCCTCAAATATAAATTCTTAAACTATTAATATCCCATAAAAGTAATTAACAGGACCTAGGAGTACACTTGTCTTCCTATATGTATTTGTGCCAATCAAAAACTATAATTTCTTATATGTAGGAATATAAGCACTTAAAATTGTTTAAAATGTCTGATCACTTCTTGTTTGGAATCATTTATTCATTATGCTTCCCAAAATTTATGTGATTCCATCCCTTACAATTTAGGATAAGGGCATTTCTAAAAAAACTGTTTTTATACTTGTACAGAATTGTTAGAAGAAATAACAATAACTGACCCATTTAAATCTGGTCGTTCCTTTAGGAAGAAGTGTGGCAGGGGGATACAAAGGTACAGGACAAATTATTGCCACACTGAAGACTAAAAGAGTCATAAACTGCTTATCCGTTGTGCTTATAACTAGAACTGCAAAACTGTGCAAGGGATATTACCAGTGGCCTGTATTTGTCCTCCTTTGTGATATGAGATGACCCACTTAATAAAACACTTCCAGGAAATGAAAGCAAAGGCAGCAGGCAGAAAATCCTTTAATGACAGGTTTCCCAAAATGTCAATGCCTAATTTGGAAAATGAAAATCATTACTACTGTGTGAGAGGAAACTGCTTTTATGCCCCTACTTTAATGATTTTGCAAGGGCTGAAAAGTTAGACTCTTTTTATTAAGGGAGCTAGGCTAGGCCACTTTACCTCTTAGTCTTCCTCACACTTAATGAGAAAAATCTTTTGATTCCCAGGTCTCAGCATGCACTTGGTTTTGAAGTGAAAATTCAGAGAACCATGTGGTGGTACCCTGAGTTTTTATTTGCCACACTAGCAATGTGCACAGGTTTCTTCAAGGAGGAAGGGTGGCTGGATGGGGGCTGAAGCTGTGGAGTGTAGATTAAGTGATTCCCTTCTTTTCTCAATATTATATGTTTTTAGAGATGCGCCTATGTTGCTTTTATAGTTCTGTGGATTTAAAAAAAAAGTTTATTTTAAAAGTGCTACAAAATGCACTCTAAAGAACATTAGGACTTAACATGGAAACCTCTGATTTGGAGTGAGTATGTGGTCCCCCTCCCATTTGGAATGACCTGGGAACAAGTATCAGGCTGTTCTTTTTTTTCCCATTTGTTTTGTTTTTCTATATTTTTAAATTGGTCCATTATAGTTGTACACAATGGTGGGATTTCTTATGTATTCATACACATACACAAGAAAAATGATTTGATCAATATTAGGATGAATTCTTGCTATATAAGTTAATAGAGAAATAAAGAAAAATAACATATTTGATTCCTTTCTAAAGTCAATTATATCTCTGCAAATCTAATGTCTTGCAGAATTAAGAGAAATTAGGTCAGAGTCAATTTGGGCTAAACTTGGAAACCTTGTTGGAAAGTTATAAAGGCTAATAGTGTCTTCAATTTTATGACCTGCATATTCATTGCCTCTGATCCTTACATTCCTGTAAAACAGTTTCTCATGAGAAAGGTAAGGGGATTGAGACTTGAAGGACTTAAGCATTTTGCCCAAGGTCACCCAGTGACAAAGTATCAAAGGAAGATAGGAGATTTTACCTGCAACTTTCAAGTTTATATATTTTACTATGCTCAATCCCTTAATAATCTAGTGATATTAACGTATTAAGCCACTGCCCTTTCTCTTAGAAAGTTATTTCTAAGACTTTAGGTATTCACATACACCTGTCATAATCATGACCATGTTTACTATCTGTATGATTAACTCCTTAATATTTTTCTATATTTAAACTTAAATTACTCATAATTAAACCTATTTGTTTAGAAAAAAAATTTATTACTATAAGTATAATGTCATTTGTCATAAATATAAGAATAAATGTAATAAAAACAAAATAATATAAAATTCTAGCTAGATACTATTACCTATAAAATCTCTGAGCAAAAAATCTGATCATTTGTTAAAAAGGAAGATTAGATTTTAAGAGTGGTATATAGGGCTGGGGTGTAGCTCAGTGCTAGTGCATGCTTAGTATATGTGAGGCCCTGTGTTTGGTCCCCAGCACCTCCCTCCCCACACCCTGAGAAAGAGAAGCCTTTAGAGCTTTCTTGGTAGCCAGCTAAGAAGCTCTCCTGAATGAGGACGGAAGGGAACTCAAAGGCAGACGATTTTCACAACCCCATTGAGTGCTTGTTACTGATTGTAGGTTTCTGTAAGCTACCTAAAATCTTCTCCTACACCCCACTTAGCACTATTAGGTACCAAAAGTGCTGTGTTCCACATACTTGGAGAATATTATCCCAGACACACCATCTGCTACTTCACCTGTGTGCATTCAAATGCACTCCTCCTCCTAGTCTAGAATTCTCTTCTCTATTTATGATTTGCCCCCCTGGAGATGTCCTCTAAATCTTTCAAGATATAGATTACATGGGTTTAATGAAAAAGCTTTCTCTGGTTCTGCTGGAAAGAGTGAAGTACAGCCCTTCCTTTTTCAGGTCATTTTGTTTGCTTCAAATAAGCCCCCTTATTATAACCTGGTGTATCATCTGGTTACATGTGAACATATATGCATCCATGCATGCATGAATGACACTGACTGGTATCTTGTTTTTATTCCCTCAGTGTCACCTAGGAGCCTTGAAAAGGCTGGTAAAGAGGGATCTGTACACCAAGCGCAGAGGGTGCATAGTGGATTGTCTTTGACACACCTTTCTTGCCTTTGCCTACTTCTTGACTAGGCCAGGAGAGTCCACAAGTCATGGTCATTGTTATACTCACTTGCTCCTCATCCACAAACCTGTTCCTCCTTAGGTTTCTCTTATCAATCAACACAAAATCTTAAACCAGAAAACTAGGAGTCACCTTGATACTTCCCTTTCTCTCTCACCCCTCCCTCTCCCAATACTTTCATAAAACTTGTCAATTTTACTTCTAAAATAATTATTGACTTCTCCATCTTCACCTTACAGACCCTGTGATATCATGCTCTCTTGCTTGGATTACAATAGCAATCCAATTTTTTTTGGGGGGGGAGGGGTGGTTACCAGGGATTGAACTCAGGGACACTCAACCGACTGAGCCACAACCCAGCCCTATTTTGTATTTTATTTAGAGTCAGGGTCTCATTGAGTTGCTTGGTGCCTCACTTTTTCTGAGGCTGGCTTTAAACTTCCTATTCTCCTGCCTTAGCTTCTCAAGCTGCTGGGATTATAGGCATTTGCCACCAAGCCTGGCCCTCATTCAGTCTTGTTACCCTTCAATTCATGTTCCTTGTAGCAGTCAGAATTCTCTCAAATGAAAATCTTATTTTATTCCAATGCAGGGAACATGATTCTTTTCATTTGCTATTTTATCCCCCATCCCAAATATAAATCTGGCACATGGGAAATACATTTATGTAACTGTATGAATGAAGAGGACTTCATAATTATTAGAGAAAGTGTGGGGTTAGGGATTTTCAAGGAGCTAAGATGCTCTCAGGTAGAGAAAGTTTGTTAAACTTAGTAAGCAGAAGTGTGTGAGATCTAGAGAAATTTATTTTTTAAATTAATTAATTTATAGTGTGAATTGAACCCAGGGGTGCTCTATCACTGAGCTATATTTCCCAATCCTTTTTAGTTTTTTATTTTTGAGACTGGGTCTCACTAAGTTTCTGAGGTTGGCCTGGAACTTGGTATCCTCCTGCCTCAGTCTCCTAAGTCATTGGGATTCTAGGCAAACACCACCATGCGTAGCTAGAGAAATTTATTTTTGAGATGTGGAACTTTGTTCAGAGGTTCAGAGATGTGCTTAAGTTTGCACAGTTCATTTGTTTCGGTGCTGGGATTAGAATTTGCCTCCCTTGACTCCTAGTTTAGTGCTCCTCCTAATATGTATTGGAGTCTCTGAGCAGAGCTATAGAAAAGGGTCACATGCTAGCAAGCAAAGAGAAAATGACTCTACTAGCTGGGTCCAGAGAGTAGGTGATGCTTCAGGTCAACTTATCAACATAATTAATCTCTTCTGATGAAAGGCTGAAACACAGAGGAACCTGCTTTTGAGCCTTATCTTTCAACTTGTACTGTACTTCAGCAGCCTCACCAATCCAAATCTCTCCCTCTACATGTCCCTATAAGAGGAAAGCAGAGGAGGGATCAGAAACACAGGCCACCAAATTTAACAAAGAATTCAAGATGATCAGTGCTAATAGTGCCTTGCTCTCTTAAATAGAAAACTTTTTTCTGAGTAAGAAATGCCTTTTAAGAGTTGACTTGACAAGTCTTGCCTATTTAACAGTGAATCTGCTTAAAATGAGGAGAGTGAGCTCCTCATTTTAAGGGGACATACACTATAGCTACATTTTAATTATGGAGCAGAATCAAATTTTGTTTTGAAGATTGTTCTGAAGTTTCTCTTCAATGAAGCTTGAGAAAATGTTTCTAATTTAAACAGGATCACTGGATTTTTATTTCCTGCTTTGTTTCTTAGAGAACACTAACCCAAAGTTTGGATGTTAAATAAATATTTGAATTTAATTTGAACTTTAGAAACGTAGTTCTTCATTCTTGTTATTATCTTATCCCTGATCTGAACAGCGCTATAAAACCAAGGATACTATAAACCACACCCCTCCCTCAAAAAAACCTATGTTGAGACTTGGAATGCTATTAAATGGTTAGAGGTTACTAATGGAGGCTCTGCCTGACTAGATAAAATTATATAC